CAACCATGTGTTCACCCCTATACGTTTTAAACGATGCCTTCAACCGTGAGCGTTGATAGAGAGTTACAGCGGCGGCATCTTACCCAAAATATCTGATTCAGATAAGCCTTAAATAAGGTTCAGTTTTCGCATTAACACGACAATTAATCAATCCGAAGTAAGTTTATCAAATTCGAAAGCGCGCACGCACGCTCATGCACCCGCACACCCCTACAGGCATGCGAAAACGTATTTCCCGCATCGGATTACAACGGCTCTATATATTTACGACCGGAGGTTTGTGCTTCAGCTAGGGAAAACGTAAAATCAGAAGCGCCTCTATCGTACGTCGTAGCCTCGGTTAATGTAATTGAATTTAACTTCATGTTAGGTTCATACAACATCAAATCGGTTATATGATTAACGGAATATTTTTCTTCAAAACTAATTATTGTCATAAAATACTCATCATACACGCGATTAGGAATACATAATAAATATATGAAAATCATATACATAATAACATATCATTACATACATAATGTAGTGTGGGCAATGTGACAATTAACGTTATTTTAAAATTAAAAACTAGTATATATGCCACTGCTGATAGCATATTTTGAAATCGTCAAGAGCAAATAAAACCTTTGATATGGTTTAAGGTTTGTATACCGCCCTTTCTTTAGTATTAGCATGCTGTTGATATCATTTAACATTGATACTATTAGCGCTTGAAGGGCGAGTGAATCGACCCACATGCAGTATACATTGATTAAGACGTACCTATAACATCACACGTGACATGCATAACAGTACAATTCTCGCAGAGTGAATCAAAACCATACAAATTGAAAAACAGTGGGACGCTGAAGCGATCTGCGTGGGTTTTATAGCAACGATTAATAGTACGTGAGATTGAACAAATGTGAACGCCTCGCCGCAAAAACCAATTGAAATTAATTAAATTGAAATTGAAGTAACTATAAACAGGCACACGGTAATGTACGCGGTATGTATTATCTAAGCGTTACAGAATGTGTTTTGTTCATAAAGTGGTACAATTGATGATTGCGTACGTGATTTCCTGCCCCATGCACTGCTTTAGCTGGCAATGACTTGACTTAATTTTTCATAGTTGGGAAAACATATACGGCCATAGTTGGGCAGGGGTGGGGATAGTTGAGAAATTGTGACTTACGGTGATTAAACGCACGCGAATCCTGCCCAATGTATGGTGCACGGGCACTTGGGCTGTTTTAATAACAAGATTATGGTAAATAAACACAAATTATATTAACTACCAAAGTCTTAATGTTTGTGCACTCTCAATCGCATAATAATTCCACGTAACCGCCGTTCAAATGCTCCTCTGTAACACACAATCACTTCTTCTTCTTCTTCTTCTTCTTCTTCTTCTTCTTCTTCTTCTTCCTCGTCTTTTTCTTCTATTCTTCTTCTTCTTCTTCTTCTTTTTCTTCTTCTTCTATTTCTTCTTCTTCTTTTTCTTCATCATCATTATCATCACCATCATCATTACATCATCATCTCATCCATCGCATCACTCATCAATCATCAATCAACTCATCATCATATCATAATCATCATCATCATCGTCACCATCATCATCATCATCATCATCATCATCATCATCATCATCATCATAAGCAGCAGCAGCAGCAGCAGCAGCAGCAGCATCGTCTTCTTCGGCTAATTCTTCTTGGTCTTCTTTTTCTTCTTTTCGCTCTATCGTTATATGAGTTTGTGCAGAAGAATGCGTGTTGTAGAGGAGCATTTATACGGCATTTATGTCGAATTAGTAGGCGATAGAAAGTGAATAAACATTAAGACTACATTGGTAGTAAATACAATTTGTCTTTATTTACCATCATTTCATTATTAACATGTCCCTGTGCCTGTGGTATGCATAGCTAGCTGTCTTATAACTGATATACGTTTCTGTCAACGCTATTCTCGTAACATTAACATCAGTTGTAAGTGCTATCTTAGCAATAACATTAGCATTAACTTTACGATGTTTCTGACAGCGGCCCCCTGGCCTACAATGCTGGATTCCGTATCGCGGCATGCGTATGACGCAGGGCGTACGTCTGCATAGCAACACTGAACGATAATTAACCCCTTCAGAAAGAATCAACACAGCTAGTGCAGACAAAATGCAGAAACACTGATACGTTTGTCTCTGGCTCACTGAGAGGCGTATGAGAACATTGTGTTATTGTTTTAGATGATCTAATGATATGAATATTTACCTATGCGCCTATACAATATAGGCTAATCGCTGCATTTACGATTGAAAATAAAAAAGCCACGTTTGCTTTAGTATATCTGTATGTGCACTAAGTATTTCTCCCGCGTGCAGACAACCCCCCGTTAGCCGATGATAAGTTTTTTTAAATATATTTTCAGCAATTAATTGCAAACGGCGTGCGCGTGCGTGCGGGTGTATTATTTACACGCTCACGCCAATGAGGGAAGGCAATATAAACTGCGCGCTGTATATAGAAATCCCGCTATCTTTCACTTTCTGTCTTCTTCATTCTCATTCTTCACTCTTCTTTCGCTCTTACATGGCCCGATTCTCCTTCTCTAACTTTCCGTTTCCATTCTTCACTCTCTTTCGTCGCTGTTTTTATTCACTATCTTTCTCCACTCTCCTTCTTTACTTTCTTTCGTCACTCTCCTTCTTCGCTCTCTTTCCTCACTCTCTATCTCTTTCTCCACTCTCCTTCTTTACTCTCTTTCGTCATGCACTTTCCTTCTTCGCTCTCTTTCTTCGTTCTCCTTCTTCACTCTCTTTCTTCGCTTTCTCTTTTCGCTCTCCTTTCGCGCTATTACGTGACTCGCTCCTCGTGGCAACGCGGCCACAACTTTTATTTAGACTAGCTAGCATAAATGCCCAGGAGGCGTTTCGTCCGCTGCTAGCAATGATTCCTCTATTTTGACAAGGCAGAGTACATCGTTTCGGTCGAGCGAAATCTGACGTTCTAAACTACAAGGACCAACACGTACTTTCTGTTAGGGGGAAATGACAGAACGCGGCTAGATGATTCTGGATTGGAACTAGGTCAGCTATAACCAGAGACAGTGAAGAGATACGCAATAGAGTCAAGGCACTATTAAAAGGGCAAGCTAAACTTTATACGGGCGCGTAACGTGAGCTGCGACCACTGGTCAAGGCGGTGTTAGAAAGCAGTGTATGACTTCATGACTGACGAGTGACGTCACTGCCAACGTCACTGGCACGTGACTCTCCAACTATGACCGCTACGTCTAAGGGCGTTTAGGCGTTGGCGCAAGCCACTGTTACACATATCAACGCATTATCTTATGCATATAATCAAGGCATTAAAAAAAATCCTATGAGCGTGTAAATACTAAATGACCCAATGGTCTAGCTGTGTATTTTTACGTACGCGTGTGCGTGCGTGCCTGCGTACGTGCGTGTGTGTGAGTGTACAAAGGCCGTATACAGTAATTGGCGAATATCAAGCTAATAAATGAATAAAATTCAAACGTTTCGTTGCTATAAATATTTGAATAAGAACGGTCAATGCACATATATACAGTTACATTGGCTATACCGCACGCGGTGCGGAAGGCGGGCGTATATGTGACCGTACAAACATGAAACCATCTCAGAGATCAACAAATCACGCAGATGCATGCTCCCAGATGTGCCCGTCTTAATTTACACCATCAACGGTTGGAGGTACGCCGCGGAAGGATGATGGTGAGAGTGTGGTATTATAGAGAACTAGTGAATGACCGAATTCGTGCACACCGAGAGATGGATAGGGCTATAGGTTAACCGTAAGTTAATTGCGTATTTCCTTGGCGATCGAGGGCGACTGCTGTGGATAATTATCTGATTTCTACATTTGCCCTTTCCTTAGGGGAAAGTGTGTGCCCTGCCCTTTACCCTTGACCTTAATTGCCCTATCCGTTTTATAGAACGGTATCATTATTATGTCTTAAACGTTCATGGTGTCGGTGTTTATTAGGCCTACTTATAGGATCTATTGGCGCCCATATGGTCCTCCAGTACTAACGTAGAGATTGAGGTTTATTGAAGCAGATTGCATATGTATATAGTAGGTGTGCTCACATGTGTGATTCAGGTTTTAGATCTTTTCCGCAAATAGTTGACGTCATATATATATATGTTAGCAATAAAAAGCGATCAGTTGCGACTTGTGTTATAACAGCCACGCTGTAGATAAGCAGGTCTTGAGACTGTAACTGCGTGCGTATGCGTTGCATGTTAATTAGCTATGGTGACGTCACGCAACGTCCGGCTATCACGTGATCGGTTTGTCAAACATACCCTACTACATCAGGAGTGAATATAATAATAGATTATATCTTTTTCACGTAATAATAATAATAATAATAGTAATAATAATATAATAATAGATTATATCTTTTTTCACGTATCTTTCACGGGAATGATTGGGCTGTTTATTTTAGGTACGAGAGAGAACTAGAGCCTTCTGTTTTTAACCTAGCTGTATTTTCTGTAATATATTTGTTGAGCTCCTAAAGCAAAAACATAAGTGCATTTTTGCACGCGTGTGGAGGGGAAGGGTGATGCAGCCATTTTGGTGAAGGTTAGATGAGAATGAAGTGTATGGCAGGTTCGTTTTGGTCATACAAAAACAGCACGCACACACGCACGCACGCACGCACGCACGCACGCACGCAAACACACGTACAGTTGGTACATCGCGCGAGTTTTGAGCGAGATTTTTAGGTGGAAATGAATGATAAAACAGAGAACATACACTGCGAGATCGCGGCCGGTTAATAGAGATTTCCGGATAACGGATGGACGGATAAAGGAGGTCGGACTGTGTAAGTATATAGCCGATTTGGTGTAATAGAATGAGCATGATTTGAAAACCTGCAATGACTATGCAGTGTAATGGCATATGCAAACAACTAAAATAAAAAAATGTATACATAAGAACTTTTACATCACAAACATCAGAAAGAAAACAGAATTATTTGATACACTCATTTACCAAAGAAGATGATTTTTATTAAATTTTTACAACAAATAACAATAAGAATATGCCAAAAAAACATTTGTAAAACAATAAATATGCAATGATAACCAGGCAGAAATTTTATATAGAGTATACACAAGATGTCGCCAGCTATGTGCATAGATTTTGTTCTAGGTACACAATTCCTAATTCGGCGTTGTAATCATCATGCTCTGTTCACACTGACACAGTCATTTCGCCTTCAATACTAGGAACTGACTGATAACATGAATAAGAAACCTAGCTAGCTTTCTGTTCACTCAATGATGGAGAAAAAACCTGACTTGCTTCGTCGCTGGTGTGTCAGCCGGTGATAAATGCTCACACCGCGTTTTTTATTGCCCTACAAAGGGTATTGGAGATTTCAACCTTCACTCGCTCGCTCATCGCCATGTGTCGCTTATTACTTGGACTTTTCCAGGGCAATAAGAGCCTTGATTCCGTCGTACATGGCCTTCACGGCCTCGTACTCAGTGAGACCCAAACGCCTCTTGTTGGAGACATCTACCAGACCTCCCTTGGTCTCGGTGTGCTCACCCATGGTGCCTGCAGACACGATAGGGAAAAAATCAATGCAATGAAACCACAATTTTTGCCGTTGTCAAAATACTGATTAAAAATGGACATGGCATACCGAGCTCTCGTTTTGTAGTTACGCGATAGCGATGAAACAAAGGGACGATTACGAAATTAAATAATTTTCTATCAATGGCTTTAAAAATAGCTTACCTCTGACTTGCATTTCGTATTTCTCAACAATGGCCTTGAACTCTGGTGTGTCGAGGGTCTTTGGCAGTTTAATGTGCACACTGGAGCGCAGAGTTGTGCCCAGGTTGGTTGGGCAGAAGGTCAGGTATCCGAGACGGTCAGTTTTGGTGAACTTGATCTTGGGGTGGCTCTCCATCTTGTTCGCTCCCTGCAACATCAAGTACGTGCGGGATCAGATGCATGACGCAGACAAACAGAATTGCTCGTGTATACAGAAATGGTGGACATGTTGCAGTATGATACAATGCGAGGAAGATGAAAAGAGAGAGAGGGAGGGAAAGAGAGGGAGGGGCAGAGAGAGTGGGAGGGAGGAAAAGAGGGGGAGGGAAAATGGGGAGGGAGGGGAAGAGGGGAGTATGGGAAGGAGGGGAGCGAGAAGAAGAAACAGGGAGAGCGAGGGAGAGAAAGATGGAGAGAGAGAGAGAGAGAGGAAGAGACAATGACAGAGAGAGAGAGAGGGGGAGACAATGACAGAGAGAGAGAGAGGGGGAGAGAGAGGGAGAGAGAGAGGAAGAGATACCGAGAGAGGGGAAGACAAATAGATGGAGGAGAGAGAGACAGCGTTTTAATAACCACAGAAATGACACCCAAGATGTGTGATGTCTTCACCAAAGCAACTGCCCAAAGAGACCAAGAAATGTCACCAGTAAAATATTCAGAGAACCCAATCTCTTGGTGACACTTGTCACATGTCAAAGATAAGGTGGGGACTATTCCTTACCGTGACGAGACGCTTGTAGACCATGCCCAAGTCACCCCCCATCTGCATGGAGATGATGCGAAGGTGATCTTCCTCATTCACCCAGATCAAGAAGTTCTTCGTTGGGTTGTGGAAAATTCCACGGCCTGTTGGGAAGTGGTTGTAACCACCGGCACTCTTCAAGAACCTAGGAAGAAATTAGCAACACATGGTACACACACACACACACACATCAATATGCTGCTGCACCATGTAAAAGATACTCTGGAAACTGCTGCTGGGATATTAGTGGCCCTGGAAACTCGCGGTCTAAAAATAGATTCACTGCACGCGCACTCTCCCTTTTTACTGGTAACATGGTACTAGCAGACTGCCTTTCCATGCGGAGTTTTCAAAATAACGCATGGGAGGGGCCTTCTACTCAGTCGCTAAGAGTTCAAACATGGGTTTCCATTCGTCGGGCGATGATTTCGGCTGGATAAAAACGTCTTTGTTGTACCTGTCGCACTCCTGGAACAGGAAGTGGTCTTCGATGAGTTGCTTGCGGGTGGCATCATCCATGCCTGCTAGGGGGTAGTACTTTCCGGCGAGCTCAGACTCGAAGCTAGCAAAAGCCTCCTTCAGTCTGGTCTCCATCTCAGAGTATTGCTGCAAGACAACGATACAGAGTGAGCAATGCGTACATTCCGCACAGCTGATGAAACAGAATACTGTAATAAGAGAGATAGTATGCACATATTGCACCACGATATGGGACGCAAAAGATTTTGCTTCGGATCTGGCAGTGAATGGCAGTCCATTCACGTATCTCTCCTGCTCCTGTGTTACCGCATTACACTTACATCGGCCTGAAGCAGAGTGTTGAAGGGGAATCCTTGGATGCTCCTGCCGACTCTGATGCGGGTGGAGACGATGTACTTGCCCTCTGGGTCAAGGTCAACGAATGCATCCACCTGCTCCTTTGTTCCGAAGTTTGGCGTTGGGTGCTTGGCAGATGGTGGGAAGCCTGAAATACATGTATAGCAGGATTAGAAGTGCATATCTCATGATATACGCAATATATGATGAAGTGCATATCTAGAACAGGCACAAGAGAGAAAAAAACCATCAAACCCCGAATGAAAATAAATTTGGTTATGCCTGTATCTTTATGACTATAGGGGATATTATTATTCTAAGGGACTGTGCTTACTTAACAATAGCTAATACGCACCCTTGTGGTAGCAGTCGATGACTGGATCGAACAGACCAGCGAATGTGGTGTAAGATTCCGTATCAGCTGCATAGACTCCCACGTTGCTGTCATGGTTCTCAGTACCTATCAACATAAAACGTGTTCGTCAGCATTGCCACTGGTCATGTTTCCCTGTACCAGAAACTATATAGTTTAACTATAATGAGGTTAAGCCAATGCAACAATGCAAATTCCATTAACAAATCACGATTTAATGAAATCAGTTTGCACCGTTACATTACAACGAGTATAGAAATTCTGCACACCGACCACAAAATCTACATGTACATTGTGCACACGGGGAATTGTAACGCGATCAGAATCGATCGATCGTCAGTGTAATCAAAGGGCCGAGTGTCGAGTGAAGCCACCGAGACTAACCAGAAGAGATGCAGTCCTTCAGCGTCGCTCCAAGGGAGGTCTTCTTGTCCTTCAACGAGTCGACGACTTCCTTGGTCAGGAACTTCTTCAGCATAGACTTGCAGCCGGCATCGGCCTGCAGCTCAGTGAATGCTTTTACCACGTACTCAGCAGCCATTTTCAAATTAGGATGAGAGGCTTTGGAAAGAAGAACCGTAGTAGACACACGAAGCGACCGCGACAGCTACACAAGGATCTCTGCAATGCAACTGCAAAAGATAAAAATCCACTCGCACCATCCCCTTTTATACCGCAGAGCTCGCGAGCGTACAACCGGCAGGGCGCTTCGGGATTGAAACCGACCAGCTGGCTATGTGAAAATCCTGCCTCACGCAATAATACTGCGCATTGGCACGTTCGCGATTGACCGTGTGCTGCGAACAATATGTCTGTGGAACAGAAATTGAATCCGCGCCTGGCCACTGCGCAAGTGCGGCGGCAAAAAGTTATTTTAGCAAATCATAATCAAGTTTCACAATTGAGTTTTATAATTGCCTTGCTGTGCCGCGTCGTGTCGTGTTCTGTCGTGTTATATTGTGTTGTATTGAGTTGTATTGTATTGTATTGTATTGTATTGTATTGTATTGTATTGTATTGTATTGTATTGTATTGTGTTGTATTGTGTTTTGTTGTGCTGTGTTATGTTATGTTGTGTTGTGTTGTGTTGTGTTGTGTTGTGTTGTGTTGTGTTGTGTTTTGTTGTGCTGTGTTGTGTTGTGTTGTGTTGTGTTGTGTTGTGTTGTGTTGTGTTGTGTTGTGTTGTGTTGTGTTGTGTTGTGTGTGTTGGGGTTGTGTTGGGTTGTGTTGTGTTGTGTTGTGTCTTGTGTGTGTTGTGGTTGTGTTGTGTTGTCGTGTGTTGTGTTGTGTTGTCGTTGTAGTTGTGTTGTGTTGTGTTGTGTTGTGTTGTGTTGTGTTGTGTTGTGTTGTGTTGTGTTGTGTTGTGTTGTGTTGTGTTGTATTGTGCTGTGTTGTGTTGTGTTGTGTTGTGTTGTGTTATGTTGTGCTGTGTTGTGCTGTGTTATGTTGTGTTATGTTGTGTTGTGTTGCATGTTGTACCTATAGCTTGTAGTGTAAATATTCATGTCACATTGCTATCAAATTATATATTCGCTATTTCGCAAATTAATAAATGAACTTTCAGTAAACGGTGAACAAATATATGCTGAGTATGTTTTGGCGGCGCAACTGCGGGCAACTTGACAGTCAGCGCAAATGCCATGTCATCGTATTCGATAACAAGATGAGATGGAGCGCGCATGTAGCGTCAACAAGCACCAACAAGAAGAAGAGCTCAGTAAAGTCGGAACCCTTCTGAAACGCAACGCCAGTATATCTACGCCCCCGAGGTAAAAGCTGCTTCGCCATTTTGTTTGACCCTCCGTTGAATATGCTTCATTGGCTTGCATCGATCAATAGTAGCCACTGCGTACAGCGCAGAGATGCTGCAGACGAAGAAAGATGCCGAAGAAGGGAATAACAATTGTCGTAAAAATCTGTTGATGTCAACCCTGGTACATGCTATCATCCAAGCACGTAGTCCAGCGCCCACCAGTCTATTGTCTAGCCCTCACCACATGTCAAGACAGTGAAGGCCTGCTACTTTAATTTCCCTACTAGTTTTCTCAGATAGTGGAATCGCATAAAGGCAAAACATAGTTATATGCTGACTACCATGCGCTCTTTCCTTCTCACTCTCGTTGCCATTTTACCATCTTATATCATTCCGTTCTCTTCATCCTCTTTTCCTCCTCCAATCTTGCGTTTCTTTACTTTCTTATTGCCTATTATCCGGCCGTCTTTCCTACATCTCTCCATGCAACAAGTGATTTCTCCTCCTGTTCTTTTTCCTGTCCGCCTACCTGACGTCACCTCCTTGCCCTATACTCTCATGCACTCGTGTATCGCACGAACCCAGACTAAACCCTTTGCTGGTCACATATTCAAGCTTAAGAGGTGCAATTAAATGATTTTTTTGCATAACATCAGGGGCGTGTACAGGGGGGAGGGGGTCCAGGGGGTCCGGACCCCCTCCCCTGCTCGCGCAGAAAACGCATCTGAGGGGTCTAATTTCAAAATTTTCTGGGGGAGGGCCCCAGACCCCCCCTTCGCGTGCTCGCAAATTTGGGTTACGGTTAGACCCCCCCCCCCTGGTCCAAATCCTGTACACGCCCCTGAACATACAAATATAAAAAACTCCGATAGAAAGTTTTTTCGTTGATTAGAAATGTAAGACTCGATTCATTTTGCCCAAAGAAAAACGCAGGGGCGAACGTTCTGCGGTGTACCTTGAATCGTTGATATATACGCTTCAGGGAAATCAGCTGACTGTGCGAAACGACCCCTTATGATTGCGCCTCGTAAATAGCTGCAGCTCATTGTATGCGTAGCAGCACCATATTTGCCCACTGGCTATTCTTTACTCGACTCATGTGCAACCGGTGACTATATATAGCACGCAGCAGTCCTAATATTTATGATGAATGGTTGAAATTAATTAAAACGTTGTCCACGATTCGTAAATATGTTTCTAAACGAACTGCGGAACCTTGTACAAAAAGTTACGGATCAGGCAAAAACGTTAATAGAGCTTTTTCGTTCGCGCACGCGTCAGACTTTCCACTTCAGCATAATTAAGTTTGCGCGCACTAAATGGCAAACTTTACTGGCATGTAACTTACAATCGCAATATGCATTTAAGTGCACATAGTACATCAAGAGTACATATTATAACAGAGATTATCTCTATTATATTATATGTACTCTTGTAGTATATGCAACTGAGTGTGTTCTATGTATAACATTTGACATTGACCCGCTTAATTTTATCGAGATTTCGTCGAGTCATTTTCTAACAGCGATGGGTGGGTATATATATATATGTCAGAAACTGACTGATAAGATGCCGTGTTACGCGCATGTCTGAGTTTTGTGAAAACGTTTGTGGGTATACCGTATAGAGCCATAGACAGGTGGTTTGCACTACACGTCACCATAATATGTGCTTTTATAAACATGCTAAGAGTCGGATCCTTGCACTGTTGTTGCTTTATCGAGTCATCGTTATTTTGACTGCTATTCTGGTTCTAATTCCCACCACGCGATGAATGTATTACAAACTAAGAAAAATATATCGTATTGAAACACGTCATATCAGATACGTGAAAGCCGAAAGTCACCCCCCATCGTCATGGTGTCGAATCGGTTGCCGTGATTAGTACATGATGTTGTAACGTGACCGTCTGAATAATAATGACGCGTTGGGAGACCATTGTACCTATAATTACGTTTGCACAAATCCAGTGCGTGCAGGCACCTTAAGGAACCAGCTGCCATGTTCTCAGTGGCATGCAGCACACAACCGGCGCTGCTGCCATTTCACTCCCATACACTAAATCTACCAATATATCGAAACGATCGGCCTATATTGTTTGCGTTCGACAGCACGCGTGCGGCACCGTAGATATCCTAATAAAAGATATGCATATAAGTAAAGTGTAGGACAGTACACATATCTGATATCTATGCGTGACACGCGCGCTGCGACCACTGTACTCTATTATACTAACTATACTCTACTCTATATTATCTGATAATCTGAGATCAGTGGCTGCGACACAGTCAATCGATCGTTATTAATTAGGGTAGCAGCGCTATCTGGCGGAGAGCTGCCGTAACCCTTACGGGTCCCGCCCGCTAAACCGATGTATAAATACAGTGCGTAAAAATAGATACGCCGGCAATGCCGGCTTGAAATAAAACGCTCTCTGGAGGGCCTCGCCGAGCTATAAGCGTGCTTCTTCCTCGCCGGCGATCGACCGAGTACAAATTTAAACACGAAACTGGTGATCGTCGCTGCATAGCCTGCCGGTAACACACGAGGCTTCTCGCCCGGGACCAGCCGCGGGTCGTGCGCAACGTGACGTCACGTACTAGAGGCATCCGACTATATTCCCGCACAGCGAAAGGGGCCAGATATTATATCTCTCTCTCTATATATACCTACAATAGTTATGACTAGCTTGTTTCCTCACAAACCCAGCTGCTTGCAGTTTTATGTGATGTTGGCGTTTATGTTATTGGGTATATGGTTATTCGCCATCTTCAGTTTTTTTCAAACAGATTTATTATAACTAGAACGGATTTTAGCCCGTTCCAGGGCATATGTGCTAGAAGTTTTTTGTGCTAGAGAGAGAAAGTGGTACACGCAATAATTGGTTGAAGAACATGCTAGCTCCGTCGATCCCTAGCTACTTCTTTTGATCATGCTATAATGAACACGTGTGACCGACTACATATATTACAGACTCGCTTATCAGATTCCGGTGTATGTTCCTAAGCCAAGAAATATGTGCAATGCAATCGGATATACGGAAATATTTTCGCCGATAAAGTATTTCTATTTGCGCTGTTCATTAATTTAGGCCTGCAGGAGAGCGAGTGACGTGATTTATCTTAGCAGAAATATCCATATCAGGAGTAGATAATAGGGATATCTCCTGATCCATATGAATGTATAGGCTACGCACGCTGTTACGATGTCGTTCATGCTTATATATACTATCTGCATCCATCCCCCATGCGAGCTAGGCTGTACCAATTCGCATCAGAATAGCAATATATATAGAGACGGATGTATGGCGGACGGGGCCTATAGCAGACCGGACCTAGCTCTTGGTTTATTACATATTCCGCCATGTTTTATTCATTCCGTGTTTTATCCCAAGTGACTGGATTTGTCTAACTTATAGACAATTAGAAATAGAAAACACCATGCATACATAGCTATAGGTTGTATACACATGTTCACGCAAGTGCCAAAAATAGACTGTTCCCACTGACCTCACAGATATCATGTCAGTCGATAGTGCTTATAGCCATCATCAACATCATCATCATCATCATCATCATCATCATCATCATCATCATCATTTTCTGTTGAGCTTATATAAGTATCATATCATGATCGAAAACAGTCGGATTTCATATGCTTGAATCAAGTAGATCTGTGGTCGACTAATTTCCGTTTTCTTACGACACGGATACGTCCCGCGGTATTTCCCAATGGGGAGCCACAATATTATTAATGAAATTGATTTGAGATTCCATCACGTACGAGTTAATCGATATGGCAACTGATCTCATCATCATCTCCCTGACGAATGAATATCGTGAACAATCTGTACAGTATGTCTCGCGGGAATCTAATTATCGGAATAGCATTTTATGATGACACGCGCGACATAAACGTAATTAATACAGCAAAACGCGCGCCACATACCGCACGTTTCTCACAAGATTGGCTCGAATTATTGCAGTAATCAGTAACGCCCTAATGAGCTACGTGCACGGGCTGCCTCGGTAGTTGCAGCGGCATTTATTATTTCTAAAGCGAATAAACGAGAGAAGGATCGATCAGCGGTAGGCATTATGACGATGGTTGCATGTGATTTACTTCGGAAACGAGCGCAATAATACTATTTACATTCTGCCCACACCACATTACAAACAGCTTTTCTGCTGTAAACAGCCTTTTAAAAACGACCTTGAAATAACTGCGAATGCATGGTGATCGAACGTCAAGGTCGGTCATTCGAACGTGAAACTACAACCAAATGTCGCGGAAAAGTTTCGCTAGCTAGGCGCGTGGTTTTTTGTAGATCGCATCTATAGGTTAGTGAGTGTGAATTTAGCTGCTTGCTAAACATCTTACATATACCCCGTACACCGCGGCCGCCTCCATGCATGCAAATGACTTAGCAACAGCTGGCATTCAATTACGTGCATATCACGAGCAGCTATGTGATGGGGACCGGGCTGTTGCCGGCGCACGAAAGCATTGCAATGGCTGCCATTGGGTGAGAAGCCAGCTAGGGTACGTATCCTAAATCGGTAGCGAGGCCGCACAGGCATGCATGCAGACAAACGAATGCATTTATAGACACTGACGTTCCTTGAAATTCAAGAAGGCGGAAATGAAGTATTGACTTTGTTGGTGACTGGGCTGTTTCGCCTGTTTTTTTTTTACACTTTTCCCATTCTGCGGATGATTATTGTTATGTGTACTGTATTCCTATTTAACGCGCTCGATAAATATACAGGTTTCATTAAATAAATAATGCAGATAGTCTCGGGCAAAACACTTATGCGAAACAAACAACACGATAACGTTTACGTATGAACAATAATCACATTATGACAATATTAGAAACAACAATTTCTGAATAACATATACATATATATATATATATATATCTGTAATAATTTGCCGCAAACCATGGGACAACGTCGTCAAGGGTTTTCGAACGTAGATATGATTCAGATAGACGTTTATAATATATCACGATGATAATATATCCCATATACACGGAACAACGACAAAGGAACGTGCTCGGGATACACCTGATGTTATACATAGTCAGTGCTGTTTTGCATGGACTTACTCAGACTCTTTATAAGCCAGGCCATGCTACTAAATAAGTCAACAAATTTACGTAACATCACGAGTATGTTAAGAATAGACTAAGATTAGACTATTCTTAGTCTAGTCTTAAATTAAACCATATTAAAATACTTTTGATAACATCTATATATAAATCACTACACATTTCATTTCATCTGAGCAATTAGACTTGTTTCAGTGAGGCATACACATACCCCACGGCAAATCAAGTTTAGTGGGAATGTTTAGCGAATTTTAGGAATAATTAGGAGTACTGTATTAGGATTTTTAGAATAGGAATTAGAATTAGGGTATTTAGGAGTATTTAGGAATATTTAGGAGTATTTAGCGGGAATTTTAGGGAATATTTTATAGGGAATCTTCCAATACCAAAAGTTTTTCCAGGGAATCTTTTACAGAGAACTTTCTAGACGAAGTCCCTTTATGGGAAATTCACACTGTTGATAAAGTGATTCCTCTACAGAGAATTCTTGCTGATTATAAAAGGAATATTCCACTGGAAACATTCAACATTCTTTATGGGAGCTTCTATAAGGAAACTTCTACAGTAAATTCTTGTCAGCGATAAAGTAAATTTTCGATAAGAAACATTCTTCAGTAAATCTTCTATGAGGAATATTCTTCAGAGAATCTTTTATAAGAAATCTTCTACAGATAATTCTTGCTGGTGATGAAGGGAATTTTTCCACAGGAAACATTCTTCAGAGAAACTTCTTCGCGAAATCATCTGCGAGGAGTTCTTGCTGGTGATAAAAGGGGATCCTTTTCAGGGAATACTCCTGAGGGAATCTTCTACAGGAAACTTTCTTTAATGAATCTTCTTTAAGAAATCTTTTACAGTGGGGTTTTCCTGGCGATAAAGGAAATCACCTAGAAGGAATTTTCGTAGGGGAATCTTCCACAGGAAATCTTTTACAGAACATCTTCTACAGGGAATCTTCTACAGGGAATCTTCTACAGGGAATCTTCGCTACTGAGACTCGAGCAGCGACTTCGATGCGGATCCGAATTGGACAGATACGTGAGCGCGGCGACGATACGATCCGCATCGATGCACATACTCGGTCTGACAACTTTAATCAGATCATTCGGCGATATCTTGTGCAGTTTCAGATCCTGGCTCAGTCTGTCCATGATGGTTTTTAGATCCTCGCTCGCTGGAAAAAATGACGGTTGATAATGTTTTCGATTATTACGTACATGCAGTATGTATATTCGTGGTTAATTAAACTTAATGAGCATAATTTCGGGATTTTGGGTAAAGAAAAGCACTCGTGGTATTAGCTCTTACGCGTAAGAGGATCTCGTCGTATATATATTTGGCGTTAATCGCGGTAAAATGATCACCAATCCTTGTCTACATATCGTATTACCTCTGCCCTTAGGATGACGTTGACGGCGCAGGTAATATTTCGCCCACGCCAACATAGACTGGAACTTCTCGATTTCCGATACGGTCCTCAGTTCCCTGCAGATGATGATGGTGAAGAAAGGTTCGCACAGAGGCAGGTAATGGCGGTTGTCTAGAAATTCGGCGGCGTTGTTGTTGATGAACTGTATGATCATGTTGACTAGTTCCATCGCGGAGTTGTAGCGCCAATAGCATTCCTCCAGATCGTTGAGCATCTGTGCAACCTGTGCCGAATGTCGTGGATACAGATCATATTAGTTTAATATATATTTAGTTTATTTTATATTATATATAGTTTAATTATATATATATATATATATATATATATATATATATATATATATATATAATTTTTATTCCAATCTTTATTATTTATAATTTCATACAATAAACGTGCATATATATATATATATAATTGTATGTAATTGTATATATATATATATGTATAATATATATATACATATATAACGCATTTATCTCGGGCTATTGATATCTGTGAATCACTGTCTATTATTGCGCCATCTCTTATGATAGGGAGATGGTAATCGCATGAGGATCTCGTGCAAGTAAAACACGTAAACAATTTCATCTTCCGTCAATCTTCCGATTTTCTTGTCGATTCATTTCATCATAATTTCGATTTCTGAAGCTACGATGGCGTATGCAAATTAATGACTACACATGTCATTGCAGAGTTCACGCAATCATCTACTTCCTTTACCTTCGTAAACACTTCGCCGTGCGTATATTTTCGCAAGTGGGCGCAAGATAGGGTAAAAACCCACGTGATCTTTCTCAAACGGCATGTGTTACAGTTCAATAAGGCGCAAATAAACGCTGCTTACAATCACTACGGTGTGGAACAATAGGCTGGGTTTGCCACAGACTAAGAATATTCTAAGTCTATGGGTTTACTTTGTAGTGGCAAAAAAGAAGACCTACCACGCCGAGATGGACGCATTGCTTAGCGTGGTGGAAGCAGGCTTGCAGCAAATCGGGCAGGTCGTAGTACTCCGCGGCGCACAACAACCGCGGAATGATACTGCAGGTGAGCGAGCACGTGCCCGTGTGAAAGTAGTTCAGAAGGATGAGGAAAGTGTCCGGGTCAAACTCGGTGACCTCATACTAGAAACATACCATACTTTTAATTAAGGGGCCGTAGCTAGCGGGGGGCAAGAGGACAACTGTCCCCCCATATGCAAATGTAGTCACTATTACATATGCAATAACGAATTGCGCACGGTCAACTTCCCTGAACCACTGAGCTCTATATCCTGTATTTGTTAGTATATAGACATAAATCGCCATGGTTTTACCACCACCCCACAGGCAACAGAAGTTAGCGAGGCCACTGAAAATAACACTTAGAGTAACGTTTGAATGTGATTTCCTATTATGGAGGGTACAATGGCTTATTATAATTATCTTTTGATATAATATGTGATACATTTATTGAATGATATTGATATTTAGTATTTGAGCGGTACGTATTATTTTAGTAGATAATAAAAAAATTATACATATTATGCATATACACCGAGTTTCAAGGCTTAACATGTTGGGTAGACGTTCTCATACAAAGCAATTGAAATAGCATCAAGTAAATGATAGTTTACCAGTGTTAATCTAGTTACTATAAGTAACAAATGTTATATTAATTTTACGTTTAATATTCGTTAATTTAATATTTTAAACTCGTCGTTAAATTAAAATTTTCTGTTTCATCTCTGACGTAAATGCAATATATATATATATATATATATATATATATATATATATTGACAGGGGAATAACACTGTAGTCAACAGTGGTCACATATCGTCGTACCTCATCTAGATTATCTTTACTGTCGGTTGACGTATTTCGTTTCAGACTTCCATGAGTCGATTCGTTTTCGGTATCTTCCCCTATTACAGATATTTCCACATATTATATGCGAATATCATGCTACAAACGTAACGGAAGGCGACAGACAACACTATAGCTGCAGAGCCAAAATATATTATATAAAATATAAATTCAATTGTTATATGATATTATCAGGAGTTTCATAATAGAGACATATAAATTTATATACATATAATATCAGGGGTTAATAATAGACAAATTTGTCATTATTAACCCCTGATAATATATATATACTTTGTGCGGTAAGTACCAACCACAAACTGATACGGTACTTATGGACAGACGCACGCAATCTTGGGGCGGTGTTTATCCACGAAAACGCGTTATTTATTTTAACTGTGTAAAGAAGACAGTCAAGCAAAGTCACACATGTCAAACTCACAGACTCCCTGTTGACTCTGCATTCGTTTCAGCTCGCGGCGTAGCTTCTCGTGCGAGCCGTCACTGCGACGCTTGAAGCTGAAATTTCCGAATTTGAAGATCGCACGCTTAGCTACGGGGCTACTCGGTGCGCTCTTGTTCTTGTAGCTGTCATCGGGATCAGGCACCTAAATACAGATAAATGCCGATGTAAACCCCACAAAAATACCGAAAGTATATCGTATTTAAACAACGAGAACACAGATAAATACCGATATAAAACCACAAATAAACAGACAGAACACGCATCGTCATTAAACAAAAAGAAACAAAGAAAAACAAAAGAAAACGCTGTTTGCATGCAGGTAAAAAAGTAGCCATTGGTGCAATTATACATACGCATATGGGTACCTATAATAAATATATGTAAATACATATGTATATATATATAATACCTGTAGCATGTTGCTGTCTTTTAGACTCGTTGAGCTCAGTGAAGCTGATCTGATTCCTTTTAGGTTATCGTAGAGCATTTCTTTGAACACGCGACTTCGCACACCAAGAATAGCTCTGACTGCGTGCAGCTTAACTTTGTTCTTTCCTGAATTCAAAAGGCAAAACGTGAATAAAAAGTGATTTAGACAGGTTCTAGACGACGAACGGAAAAAGTACGGTGTAATTTTTTATGGCGACCAACATTATACAAAACCTGTTTGGTAATAAGTTATTAAAAATCACTATGGTATTCACTGGGTTTATGCGAAATGTAAAAAAAACAGGCAAAAAACTAATTCGTGTGAGATAATCAATCTGCAGTGATTAATTTCACGAAGATTGCATAAACATATGAACAATTTCAATAACAAAGGCTAATATACAAGTTTCCATTCGATTACGTTGAAATGGAAACTCATGTCGTCATACCGACGATGAATGTGACGTCACAGAGCTCGGAACGTTTAAACGCAGCAGCGAAATCATTGCTCAACGTCTCAAAGCTTTCGAATGTGTCTCTCACAGAATCCTGAAGTGGAAAGTTGGATCGCATATGGCCAATAGGTCTCCAAGAGCCGCGCCTAGAGAAACATGTTACTAATTAAAAAATGTATCATTGAAAACCACTCGCGTATGTTTTCTAAAATTCAGCCGTAATTAACTCATTAACAGAAATCAGCCGTAATCAGCTTTTTACAAGAATTGTACTCAGAATTTTACAAAGAAATAACTATACATTATAATTTATTATGGCAATGCATGCCGTGAGAGCATTTTCTATTAACCACACTGACATCACTGCGTTCTTCGGAATATTCTTTAGCTTGGTATACGATTACCTAATGCTTCGAAAAAACCACCACGTCCGCAGAATATATTGTGGTATTTAAATAGCGGCCAATCCAAAAACAAACCGGCGTACCTGTAGGGCTGTGGTAAGGCTCCAGTGTTCGAGTGGTTGTGTAGACTGACCATCAAATCCTCGAGCATTTGTCCTCTGGTTCGGTCTTGCATTCGTGCAAACTTAGGCGCCGTGTAACTTGCTCTCTCTCCGTTCACAGTCTTTGTGAGCAACCACTCTCTGAACATCGGACCCTGAATGTGATTGTTAATTAATGAAAACTAGCATCCCCAGAAGTGCACTGCTATAGTATTGTTGCATCAAAATACGAGCATGCCGAATCCACATGGAGTAGTGAAGCGGATCTGCGTCACAGAGAGTCACTTACAATGCCGTGGCCAGCGGGGGCGGGGAAAGTAAAAGTTGCCCCAACACAGGAATGTATAAAATATTGATGATATTACATGATCAACATCGGCACCTTTCCAGAACAGAACCCGTACGTGGCTTTGCCCCAGGCAAAATTGGTTAGTTACGCGCACCTGCATGGTTTCACACGTCTAATATCCCTAGAAGATGCTAGCTAAATCATGGCTAGTCACAGAACGCGTTAGTTATATCACAAACACCTCCAGAAGATGCTAGTTAATTTATTATTAGTCACAGAATGTGTTAGTTACATCACTATCAACACCAGAATGTGCTATAGTTAAAATAATAATAGTTACGAGACGTGTTAGCTATATGACTACAACCCCATGCAGAATGTGCTAGTTAAAACAATAATAGTTACGAGACGTGTTAGCTGTATGACTACCACTCCAGAATGTGCTAGTTAAAACAATAATAGTTACGAGACGTGTTAGCTGTATGACTACCACTCCAGAATGTGCTAGTTAAAACAATAATAGTTACGAGACGTGTTAGCTGTATGACTACCACTTCAGAATGTGCTAGTTAAAACAATAATAGTTACGAGACGTGTTAGCTGTATGACTACCACCCCCAGAATGTGCTATGGTTAAAACAGTAATAGTCACAGCACGTGTTAGCTATATAACTATAACATCCCCAAAAGATGAGAATTAAATTCCTATCATCGTCCGCGTAACAAGATCCGACCACCGACAACGAAAGCAAATCTACAAGAGCAAGAGCAATCAGAGATATAGCAAACCTCCACCACAGCGTAACAGTCCCCCCCCCCCATCTTGCTCGTACACCCAATATAGTTTGATGAAATTTTCAGAAATTTGAAAAAAAAAAGATCCAGGATTTTTTTTAATGAATTTTGAATGCGTCCGAAGTCTTCCCGACAAAAAAAAAACTGGATCCGGATCACCACCAAAATCTAATCGATTCGTTCATGGCTCAAGACCAACCCGTCCAAAAAATTTCATCAAAATCCGTCAGTTACTTTTTGAGATATCCTGTTTACAGACAAACCAACAAACCAACAAACTAACAGGGGCGAGAATATAACCTCCTTGGCGGAGGTAATTATGAGACACGCGTAATTGCGCGTATATTAACTCATCTCGATAGCGTACCTTGTCAAACTCGCACATGTCGTTCAGGTAGGGTCCATAGCCGGGCACCTCGTCGCGGGACACGATGGACACCTTGTACTTCGACGGCTTGTCTCGCTGATTGGGGCTGGCCTGCACGACGATGAAGGTGTGCAGGAAATGCGACTTGATGCATGCGGGAGAGAAGTCGGTGTCGTTCCCCTCGAGGAAGACGATGCAGACGATGTCGTTACCGATGTGACGCTTTCTCTGTAACTGTGGAGAGTCGGCTGTATGTTTATATTCCCGTATGATTATCAGGAGTGTATAATAATATATAGACTATAATATATATGCAGTGGAACCCCGATTTTACGCGCCCCGATTAAACGCGAATTCGGATATAACGCGATGAGTCGTTGGACCCCTTTTTTGCTCTTATATAGCCACGTATATATAACCCCGATTTAGCGCAAACCCGCTTTTTTCACGATGACATTTTATGGACCCCAAACCATCGCGTTATAACGGTGCTACACTGTATATATATAGTCTATATAAAAACTTGAAAAATGGTACACACTGCTTCTCTGCTTAGCATTCAGCAAATAGAGATAGTGTGGAAAGTTAACTCGCAGTGCTACCAGTGGACTAACCCCCCGGTGTAGTATTCACTGTAAAAGCAGCTGCGTGGCCTCGGGTTAAGGAAACGGAGATAGGCACCGCCCTATGCGCCACATATAGGCACGGGAAGGGATTTAACTAACTTTAACTATATTATACGCTCCTGATTAGGTTGTGTAGAACAGCAGAAACGGAAGTTGAGACGGTTTCCCGCAAAAAAATATTTACGGCAGGTATACCGTGGTAGTGCATTAAACAGAGAGGATTGGTGGCTTTAATTGTATTCCCGCAATAATCATTTATTTTATGTTCATCATCCTCGGTATTTTCTTTTAATTTCCTAGCTTTATGTTAACTATATAAAAATGCAGTACCTATCACGACATTTAATAAATATACGCGACCGGTATAGGAACTTTATATGATATCAACACGTAGCGGAGATAAATTTGGTTTCGAATATCAGCTTACCTTCTGAACATCGTCTTTGTCGTGGGGAAGCAACGTCGAAACGTGAAACATCACCTCAATACCTCTCCAAAATGTATACATCGAATGGGTTCCAGTGAGATTATGCAATGTGTCAAGCCCTCCTCTGTATCGATCGAACCCTAATTAGAAAAACAGAAAATGTTTGAACAATACACAAAAGCAAGGGCGAATATTTTGATTAGCGTTTTGCAGTTTACCTTCATGTTTTGACTAACGACATTGCTAACATAATAATAATAATAATAATCATTCATTCGTCTAACGGTATTATATTCCGCTGGGAACTGAAACCGACGAAAATACCTTGCAGTTTTATTTTATCGCCAAGTAAATCCAGGAATTCTTCAAAAAGAGGACTGCCTCCACTGTTATCAAATATCTCCTCCTCTGTAGTCTGATCTTCCTTCATGTAAACGACGCCGACTTTTAATTCCGACTTTATAAAAACCTGCAAAAAACCGACATTCTGCACTTCACCATTTGACATCGTACAATCGTGCACGCGCGGACGAAAATGCGCACGCAAGCCAGCGTTCACGCCCGCCGTGAAGGGACACAAGCGCACGCGTGCACGCACACACCCATGTAAAGGGCCGGACACACCAGGCGATGCCATCGGCCGATGATCGGCCGATTCCATCGGCCGATGGCATCGGCGTGAAAATCGCCTGGTGTGTCCACTCAATCGCCGCCGATGCCATCGGCCGATGGCGTCGGCCGATGATCGGCCGATGGCATCGCACCCTGGCATCGCGCACAGATCAAAACGTTTTGATATTATCGCCCGATGGCATCGGCCTGGCATCGGCCTGGCATCGGCATCGCCTGGTGTGTCCACGACTGCCCGATGCCAGCCCGATGCCAGCCGCGATTTTACAAATTCATCAGCCAATCAGAGTTGTTCAATGATACTGACTTTCTCTCCTCTCTCTCTCTCATCGCACTGCGCGCGCAAGAACGGCGATGCCATCGGCCGATGGCATCGCCTGGTGTGTCCACGACTGCGCGATGCGCATCGGCCCGATGATCGGCCGATGGCATCGCTGGTGTGTCACGACTGCGCGATGCCATCGGCCGATGGCGTCGGCCGATGGCATCGCCTGGCATCGCCTGTGTGTCCGGCCTTAATAGACACGCACGTACGCACACACACACGCACACACACGCACGCACGCGCGCACACACACGCACACACATACGCGCGCATATACACACATATACACACACACGCACACACGCACACACACGCACGCACGCACGCACGTACGTACACACATACACACAAACGCACACACACACGCACGCCCGCGCGCACACACACGCACACACTTATACACACACGCGCGCACGCATGAGAAACTACCCACTAGCAATAAAGCACCCGTACACGCATACACATTACCATCTACCTCATACGCAGACAATGAAACACGAATTTTCAAATATCGATGAATTTTCCTCCACCTACGCAGGTTCTCTATCATAATATTGACATTGCATGTCGTTTATATAAATAGTCATTAGTATAGTATTTTGCGAAATCGTAAACACTATAGGGAATGTGACTCATCACCTCAGAATGACGTAAAATTCTTGGAGATTCTGACAATATCTCTGACGCTAAAATAACTATAATGGGAGGTAATCAGATAATAGTCAGTCAGGCAGGTAGGGGGGAGGGCTAGGTACGGGGGCGCTCCATGGAGGCGTCGGTGAATGAAGTGACGTGAGCATGGGTGTATGATGTATCAGGTAGCTGCGTGCAGGTAAGCGTGGGTGTTAAGATGGCAAATAGAAGTTGTTATGGTGTAGATTATCTCGCAATTAAGATAGTGCAGAATCCAGTTACTCCCCTAGCCCTCTACTACTTACCAACTAGGCAACAACAGTTTCTTATGTACTCGTTATAATATTGACAGAAATAATGCATAAATTCCTTGTATGTTATTTAATGAAAATTTATTCTGGCAATTCACGTATATATATATAATATATATATATAGATTCCAATGGGTGTTTATGAACTCGTGTGTCGAGCATAATTAATATATATGTATTGATTATATGATAATAATTAATATATATAATATCTATATAATATATATATATGTAGTGTGTGTGTGTGTGTTGTCTGTGTGTGTCCGTGCGTGCCGTGGCGGCTGCGTGCGTGCGTGGTGCGTGCGTGCGTGTGTTGCGAGTATGTGTGTGATGTGTGTGTGTGTGTGTGTGTCGCTATGTGTGTGTGTGTTTGCGCGCGTGTGGGGGGGGGGCCGTGCGTGCGTGCGTGCGTGCTCGCGTTTGTGCGTCCGTGCGCGCGCGTGTTTATTACCTGGTCTAACTTTAGGAGATCCTCTGGAGTTGAAGGCAACCCTGCTAGTTTCAGCGGCGGGTAGACTCCGATTTCCTTTCCAAGAGATCGGACGACATCTTCTCGATCGTAACGATTAGCGAAGACACAAGCAGCGGGCACGAGTCCGTGAATCTGATAGGTAGACGTTCGCACCATAACCCTGAATCGACAACGACACTAGCGATGGATCGTTATCGACGCAGCCATTCCGCATTCGTGAAAAATTTATGTTATTATGCCATAAATACGCCATGTGATATGTGCATTCCTCACATTATTTCGATCGGTAACTTTAATTCATTGTGATATGAGTTGATTATGATTATTTATTATATAACGAAGCAGATAGACGAATTATTTTTTTTATGAAGGGATGTCTAATTTATTAATAGACCTATCCACGAAATGAGAAAGAATAGTCCCGCAGGAGTAGGAGTAGTTTTCAATTTGCACAAGACAAAAATCCTTCAGTATCCTCGTGGAAATTAAACCATATCTGGCAATATGTGCTTCGCACTATTCGCTATTACAAGGAATATGGTTTCGAAGAGGAAATGTATACACTCCTCTCCTACACCGTTCTCCCATGACGTACCGGAATTGTTCCCGTCCGTTAATGCTCTCTTGTTTCAAGCTAAGAATGAGATTTCCGAGATCTTCGTCTGCCGTAAAATAGTTCCAATGCTGGACGCCATAGAAATACGTTCCGTATATTTCCTGTTCGTGCGTCATCAATTCGAACGTTCCCGTTTCCGAATATAGATCCAGTGGCGTTCGTCGATTTTCGTACGCCTGTATCCTCGCCGTGTATGGGCATTCCACCCAATAACCATTAATCGGCTTAACTCCGTGGTAATGGCCAGGACAGGGCATGCCCGGACAGGCCTCGTTGGGCGTCGGAAATTGTAAAGAGGTTGAGCTTTTCCTTCGTGCGGCGAGAAACCCGAGAGCCTTGTTCTTAAACTCTCTGAGCTGGTGGAGAAAATCGCCATTCTCCAACATGAGCATGATTTCTGCGTGATGCTGCTCGCAGAAGAGGCGCCCATTGTACTGGTTCGTACCGGCAACCTGCTTGCCGTGACCATCGAGCAGACTTAGGGAGCAGCTACTGCACTTGAAGCAATTTGCATGAAAGGCTTCACCGTTGAGCGTGATAACGCGCTGACTCTGGAACTCGACGGGCAAACTGCAGTCGCTGCAGACAGACATCACTTGTTTTGGTATACCTAGTCTTCCAAGTAGACTATCTGAAACGTTATTGTTCCTACGTGTGAAGTCTATCTGCGATGAGAAAGACAGGTTGATTAACTTCACGACGAAAGCCAGTACGCAGTGTAAGATATTGAGGGATTTGCATCTGCCCTACATAATCGGAACAACAACGCATGGCACGCGTTAATACAACCAACATAGGGTCGATAATTGCACGTCAGGGACGCATATATACACCACACTCGGTACATGAAGATACCTTATATCAATGATTGCTTTCGTTTCTTTCATTTTTAAATTGCCAGCGTTTCGTTTATTAAGTATAATATACATGGTAACATGTTCTTACCTTAGAACCTTAGAAGCTGCGATGATGGCGAGTGCAGAAGCCGGTGTTAGGTGTGGCGAATAGTCCGTCGCAAATCAATACTCTCTTACAATATCTCATACAGCCGACGTGTACGCTACTGCGCAGCCGCGCACGCCATACGATTTCGCATTGGCTTGCGTGGGTGTACGTGGACGTGCATGGACACCTATTTCATCATTACCTCATCTCGCTACGAGGTCATGTAATCGCTCTGGTGTGTGTGTGTGTGTGTGTGTGTGTGTGTGTGTGTGTGTGTGTGTGTGTGTGTGT